TGTGACGTTCGCAGCAGGATATCATTAGATAAGGAATTCGGGGTTAGACGCGTGTAATTAGGAAAGCAACAATGCAGGGCTCACATACCTTGCGTTTGTCGCATTCTTGTCAGGGCGTCCGGAAAAGACCCATCGATCTTTCTTGGCTGGGTGCCTGGTAAACAAAACGCTTGCATAAGCAGAGAAGGCGCCGTTTTTGAACAGTCATAAACCATGCTAGGCCGCGGGCTGTTCGCAAGGCTTTCCAGGCAGACGGGTTTGGAAGCTTTGTTTCGCCGACATGCCGAGCTGGGCGCCGTTGTGCTGCGGGGTCAACGAGTGCTATCAGCACCGGCCGGTTTATGGGGCGCGCCCCAGCTGCGCCGACGCCCGCGTCCGCCCAGCGCGCTCTTGCGTGGCGCCCGAGCCCGGTCAGAAGCTGCGCTCCGCCAGGCGGCGCAGCCCGGGTCAGGCGGAGCTCACGCCCCAGCTGCGCCGACGCCCGCGTCCGCCCAGCGCGCTCGCGTGGCGCCCGAGCCCGGTCAGAAGCTGCGCTCCGCCGGGCGGCGCAGCCCGGGTCAGGCGGTGTGACCCCGCCAGAAGGTCCCGATGTCACCGGGCCGCCACCCCACAGAACCGCGCGGTATGAGCGCGGCTCCTATCTCACCGTGGACGCGGCTCCCGCCTAACTGCGAGGGCGGCTCCTGTCTGGCTGTGAACGCGGCTGCTGTCGTACTGTAAGCGCGGCTCCGGTCTGACCGCGATGGCGGCTGCTGTCTGACCGAGAGATGGCGGCTCCGGCTCTGGCTCCCAGACAGGCGGCTCCGCTCTGACTGGGAGAGCGGCTCCGCTCTGACTGCCAGGGCGGCTCCCGTCTCATTGTGAGCGCGGCTCCGCTCTGACTGCGAAGGCAGCTCCGGTCTGACTGCGAGGGCAGCTCCGGTCTGACTGCGAGGGCAGCTCCGGTCTGACTGCGAGGGCAGCTCCTGTCTGACCGCGAGGGCAGCTCCGGTCTGACTGCGAGGGCAGCTCCGGTCTGATTGCGAGGGCAGCTCCGGTCTGACTGTGAGGGCAGCTCCGGTCTGACTGCGAGGGCAGCTCCGGTCTGACTGTGAGGGCAGCTCCGGTCTGACTGCGAGGGCAGCTCCGGTCTGACTGCGAGGGCAGCTCCTGTCTCACTGTGAGCGCGGTTCCCGTCTGACTGAGAACGCGGCTCTTACCGGGGGCGGAGGGAACAAGGCGATGTCCAGCTGGGCGCTGTTTCTGTTGGCGTGAAATGAAGCAAGCGGGCGGCTGTCCACACGCACAGTTTTTGTGGGTACTTGTGAGGTTAACAGCGGGCATGCGTATGGGGGAGTTCTTTTCTTGACTTTTGGAAACAAAAAATTATGAAATATGCATGCATCTATATATATATATATATATATATATTATATACTTAAAGAAATAATATTTATTAGAAATATTGCCGCGTGGAGTCGGCAAAGTGCTCGAAATGGTTGAACTCATTAAGTGATAAGGTCCATGAGAGAAGCAATGAAGAGTTTGGGGAAGTTATTTTGGGCAAGTTAAATAACGTAGGATCTTTATTTCGCCTCTTGCATAATGCCACGCATTACCGTACCGCGATAGCAGTATAAGACAAGCGGCGCCAGCTCTGGCGATTGCAACGAAGTCCCGTCTTCTTTTGTCTTCGAGCCCCTTCAGGATACGCTGCACTCGTAACAAGTTCGCTCGCGCACACGGTCGATGGCGGCATTGCGATGAGAACGTGCCGGCCGACGACTCTGGGTTATGGCCGCCCAGTCAGCCGGCGCCCGCTGGGAGTCCGGCCTGGTCTTCTGGCACGCCGGAGATAATAGTTTCCTCCGTGGAGTGGAGTGAATGCTTGAGCGGTAACAATTGCCGCCTTGTAAATACGATAACACCGTGCCTCGGTGTATTCTGGGTACGCGCGTTCTGTTGCGCCAGATTATAATTGAACATCACCTATGTGTGCCTTGGGCTGATTGGTTGGTTAAATTGCAATCTGTGTGTGACTTGAACTGGATGTCTGTGGTAGTGTCCCTCGAACGCGAGGCGGTGGCACCTGGGAACTGGTCGGCAGCGGCGCGCGGCGCGGTCGCGCGCCGCCGGATTGCGGCCGGCGCACGATGGTGTGCAGCCCGGTGAATTTAGAGGGATTTTGCCCGACCAGCAGGATTTGAGAATTTCTAGATTCTGAGAATTCTCTAGAGATTTTGCTGTGTCGGCGTGTCGTGACGGGCATTTTGAGCTTATGGACGCGCTGATTATGGGCAGTCTGGCCCATTTCATAGAGGCGTTTGGTGGTGTATGTCTTCATGAAGAGCGGCAACTGGCGGTTCGGCGCCCACCCGGTATTCACTTCGCCTTCGCGAAACGATGGCCGCGGGTCAAATGTCAGCCCTGTTCTGCGATCTGATCTCCCATGCTTTAGACACATGCCGACATTAATTTAAGCCAAGTTATGGGCAATGTATGACGTCACCGGATGTGGTCGAACAAAGTACGAGGATAGAAAGGGCTGACATAGTGCCTTTCAAAGAGGATCACAAAGGCTTTGCCCGTTCAGTTGACGCAGTAGGGCATCATTCAGATAGATCCCATAGTAACTAATCCGTTTTATGGTGAGGACGTACTGAATAGGCTGTCTTTGGAAATAATTGGTCCGAAATTTTTGATGGCTGACTGTATCACACCGCCGGAGATTACCCATATATTTCCGCGAATATCAGTGGTGCATACAGTCCACTGCTTTACCGTTCCACATTGTGCGGCGTTGGGGAGATAACATCAGCCGTAACCGGCCGGTCGGTGTCCCGGCTCACCCGTAAAGCCACAGCCATCGTCACCGCCATCACCGTCATCAGCACCAGTGGTGTGGGTCCCCAGTGTTCACCAGAAGCCATCGCCTCGCGCCGCAGGCCCAGACCCGACGGTCGCGGCCGGGCCGGCGGCGGCCCCCCGCGGGGTCGCGAGCGGCGTCAGCAGCGCTGATCGGCGGCGGCCGCGACGCTGCCCAGCACCGCGCATTGTGTGGCGGCCAGCACGGCGTCGGAGGCTGTGCTGATATCAGCGCGCCGCACGTCGCGCCGCGTCCGGCTCGGCCGGCGGCCGCTCGCCGTATGCGGCCGGAGCTCGCTCGGGGTGTGTCGTGTGTGGAAGAGCTCACGCCCAGAGACTGTGGTGTGAGGTGAAGCTTGTCCAAGACGTATCTTGCGGCTGAGCTCGCGCCCGGGGTGTCGGGTGTCTCCGCCATAGATATTACATCTTACTCATATATGCACAGAAGAGAGAGAGAGAAAGAGAGGGCAGAGAGAGGAGAGAGAGATAGAGAGAGGAGAGAGGAGAGGAGAGAGATGTGTGACTGAGAGAGAGAGAGAGATAGGAGTGAGAGGAGATGAGAGAGAGAGAGAGAGAGAGAGAGAGATGAGAGAGAGATGAGAGGAGAGAGAGAGATGAGAGAGAGAGAGAGACGAGAGTTCGACGACCGAGAGAGGGGAGAGAGAAGAGAGAGAGAGAGAGAGAGAGAGAGAAGGGAGAGAATATATTATATATATATATATATATATATATATATATATATATGTATATATGTATTGTATATATAATGTATGTACACGTGTTATGTGCATATATATATATATATATATATATATATATATATATATATATTCACACGCATGGATATTTATCCCATTCATCGGGTGGTCGTTGAGCTCACCCCGGATGTACCATGTACGGGTGCAGACCTGCCTTAGCCAGTAAGCTCACTGTTGGGTCACCGCACGCCGTCCAGCTGGCTCCGGAGCGGTATTGCGCCGGCGAGCCGGCCCCTGCTGCTGGTCATCGTCTGCCCGGCCCCATCCCGCTGCGCATGGCGGCCGCGCTCAATATGCGGCCAGTGTCCATCAGCGCAGCGGTGACCTGGCCAGCCCCAGGGGCCCGTATTGGCGAGGCCCGGATCAGCGCGACTCAATTGGAGGCGGGGAGAGCGCGAGAGTGGCGCCGCGGCTGGTGGGCGGCCCCGGACTCCCGTGGCTGTTCCTCGCCGCTGGCGGTGGGCGGCCCCGGACTCCCGTGACTTCTCACCGCCGCCGGCGGGAGGGCCCGGACTCCTGCGGCTGCCCCTCACCGCCGCCGGCGGGAGAGCCCGGACACTCGTGGCGTAGCACGGCAGCCGCTGGCGGCCCGGCCGTCCGGCCGCGGCTCGTTAGACGCGGCCGCCGGTGGCTGATGCACGGCTGCGGCGGACAAAAACCCTGACGCCTGTCCGGCGAACGGCGGCCACGCCGGACTCGGCCGGCCGGCCAAGTGCACCCTGACCCGGTCGCCCCCTGGCCTGGCGCGCCGACTGCACCCGATCGGCAGCCTGCCGTCGCCAGACGCCCGCGGGCGGCTGCGAGCGCTGGTGCTGGCGGACGAGGTCGGCGACGTCCGGCCTGCTGCCCGCGCGCCGCAGGCGGGTCCTGACGCTGCGCTGCGGCCGGCGGCAGGGTATTGCTGGCGTTCAGTTGCGGCCGGCGCGCTGTTAGACACGTTCTCGCTGAGACCGAATGACGTTTATGCGGCGTGAATGGCGACGAACGCTGACTTAAACGCAGGTGGACGTGCGGCTGGGGTAGTTGGACTCCAGAAGCAGTGGCATATACTGACGATGTAGGCCATTTAAGCTAGTGGAGATCTCATTGGTTAGCTTCTAAAGCGCAACCCAAGCGTTGTCGGCCCTGGACATATTGCGGCACTTCGGCCACATTCGTGGGGTCATCAGGCTGATGTAGCGCCGCCCTCGAGACCATGGCCGTGTTGTGCTGAGGGCCGGCGCTTGTGCCCCCCCCCCCCCCCCCCCCCCCGCCTTCTGCGCCGCTAGCCCACCCGGCCACGCCGAGTGGGCCAGCGGAGCGGGTCAGCACGAGTGGGCCAGCGGAGCGGCCGCCGGCTCCCGCGCCCGCGGCCGCGCCGTTGTTGGCCGCGTCCCCTGACGCCGGGCTCTGTTGCAGAAGATGGACGGCTCGTCCTGCATGGAGCTGGCGCTGGAGGGCGAGCGCCTCTGCAAGGCCGGCGACTGTCGCGCTGGCGTCGCCTTCTTCGAAGCGGCCATCCAGGTGAGGCCACCCGCCGGCGGCGGGCTGCCATTCGCTCGTCGGCGGACGCTTGTGACGTGTATGTGCCTGACAACGCGTGTTGCTGTCGTTCGATCAAAAGGTCGCTGTAACCGGATTTTAACGTGGCTCTGTGTATCGGTGCCCTTGTGTTTGACTTAGCTCAGATGGCATGTGTCGCATATTAGCGCCTCCAACATGCGGGCACCCGTCCAGGAGCGGGGACGGCGCTGGTCGAAGTCTGCAGTCCGTGCCGGCCGGCCTGCGGGGACAGCTGGGCTCAGGCTTCAGGATGTTGTTTTTTGTGACCATCTGTTCGGTGGGGACAAACACGTTATGGCGCGGCTAGATGATGGATTAGGTTTCCGGTGCCGGGATATGCTTGGCTCGCCACGCGCTCAGCCGCGGCTGCGTGGTCTGGGCGCCCAAATACGTCAGCAAGGAATCATGTATTCTATGCGCACGCTATGTGGTTTGACCTGCAAGAGCGGCAAGATGAGTATGCGTCTGGCTAGTCGTAGGCAGGCAGGAAGAGACACCTAGTGACCGGCCTTGTCCGTCCCGTACTCTGTCCTTCCCGTCGTTTCCTTTATCCTGTCCGCCTTCTGATGTGTCGTGCCTGCCTCCTGGTTTATCGTGCCGGCCGCCCTCCATGTCACCCTCCCCATCCTCTTTCCAGGCGGCCTCCTCTCCCTCCCCCCCCCCCCCCCCTCCCCCGTCGCGCCTGCCTCCTGTCGTCGCTGCCCGCCTCCTGAGCGGTCGTGCTCTCCTGCTATGTTTTGCCCATCTGATGTGTGTGTTACCCGCACCTTGCTCCATGGTGCCGGCCTGCTCGCTGCCATGCCCGTCACCTGCTGTGCCGTGGCCTCCCCTTCCGGCCAGACCGTGTCAGCCGGGCACGCCCCGCTCCGTCGCGCGGACTGACGATAGGGCGCGGGATCGCAGCGGCGCCGCCTCGTGAGTGGTGGCTCGAGCGGGGCGTCCGGCAGCTTCCGGCAATTAGCGGGCGTGCTTGGCATGCACGGGGGCGGCGGCCGGCCCCGCTGATTCTTGGCGAGGTCGGTCAGATGGCGGCGGTCGGCGGCAGTGGTGCCGGCCGGACGCTGCAGTGGAAGCACACGGAACGGTCGGCGCGGCAGCGGCCTGCGCCCGGAAGCCCCCTGGCTGAGACATGGGTCATGTTCTAGACGCCGCGAGGGCAAGGAATCCATGGTGGACACAGACATGAGCACGAGCACAGTCGTCTGATGTGGCGGTGGATCCCACGCGTGCTGTCTCGTGTACAAGAGTGGAGCAACGAAACAGACAAGATATTGATCGCTGGGAGACTGTGCGCTGCAGAAGGCATGCCGTTACCACTCGCTCTTTGTCTCCACGAAGCTGAGAAGTCCACAGAGCACTGAAAAAGAATTAAGTGAAATGCCAGGTTAAATTGCTTACTTTCACGGAAGTGCCTCGCTTTCCCGTTTCCTTTTTTGTGTCAGAAAATCCAGCATGTCTTTTCATGCTGACATTAGCACGACGTTACAGCTTAATATCGATTGCAAGCGACGTGTGCGAGATAAACAGAAGGTGTGTTGTCCACAAGTGTTTGAGCGGAACTTCACCGATCCCAAGAGTCCATACGCGTGTATCGGCACATTGTATAACTTGTCCGGACATTGCACCGGGTCAGGTCGGCTGCCGGTCGTCCCGGCTGACCGGGAGGGCGTCCGTGGGCGCGCAGCGTGCGGCCAGCTGTTCCGTTTGCCCCGGGACGGAAGCTGCACACTGCCTGTCTCTCGGGGCTATCGCCGCGCACGGTCAAATGACGTGTAGCATAAGCACGAAAAGCTACGCCGTGGAAAGAAAAACTGCTGAATATAAAACAATCAAGCCTTTTTAGCCAATTTGCCCAACACTGATATCCTTTCCATGCAAGCATGTGGAACGTGCTCTGCATAATTTGCCGCGTGTTTTGCATAATTTGAAACATAATAGACTCCTTTTGGCCGCTAATGGACGTTTTGTGTCGTTGCGCAACTGATATGCATAACCGACTATAGTTATCAAATGGCAAATGGGTGACTGATGCAGTGATCTGCTTATACTGACTGTTGTCATTGTAGTGCCTACCGTTATGGTACAGATTGATGTCCATGGAAAAGAGGTTGTATGGCTGACAACCGTGACATCATGTTATAATGACTTCTATATTCGGCAGTGGACAATCATTAGGGAACCGCGTATAGTGGTACTGATGTTGGCCTCTCCTCCGATTTGTCCTCCCCAGTTCTGTGGCCATCATCATTATGATGTTGATGTTGGCCATCATCATCAGCGGAGTCGTTAAAGCTTCCGTTGACACAGCCACCCTATCAGGATATTGCAGGCCGTTCTTCCAGTTACAATGCACATCCCTGACCGTGGCAGGGCAATGATCCTTCATTTGCGCGGATACGCGGCGGTTTGTTTTTGTCGTGGGCGTCCGCACGGGTATCATCCGGGCTTTATGTTGTTTTTCTCGCGAAATCAGCGAGCCCGACTGAGCCTGACGGCGCGCATAATGGTGGATCCGCCAGCTGTCGTGTTCTTGTCGAGCCCTGGCCGCCGCTTGTGTAAAGCTGCGGGCGGCGCCGGGTCCTCCGAGCGGCTTCATCGGCCCGCACTGTGGCGGGGACGCCGCGGGCGGCGGCAGCTGCCGACAGCGGCGGGTCTGTGTTCGTCGCGGACTGGTCGCCGCGGGATGACAACTGTGATGGGCCGCGGCGGTGTCGCCGCCCAACCTGTCTGGGCACAGCGCCAGCATGCTGGAGACGTGGCTCTGCGTCCGGATCCGGACCCTTCCCCGAGCGGTGGATATGCGGCGGTTCTGCCGTCGTCCAACCAGTCCCCGCTCAGGTGAGACTGGCACTGGTGGCAGCCGTCCCCGTTGCGGTAATCAACGGAGCACTAGCGGCGTGGCTGTCCGATCCGTCGCTGGGCGGCGGCTCAGGTGCCAACACCGCAGCGGCGTCGCCGTCCGATCCGTCGCCGTCCGATCCGTCGCCCTCAGGTGGCAACATCGCAGCGGCGTCGCCGTGCGATCCGTCGCTGGGCGGCAGCTCAGGTGACAACTTCGCAGCAGCCTCGCCGTCCGATCCGTCGCCGTCAGCTGACAACATCGCAGCGGCGTCGCCGTCCGATCCGTCGCCGGGCGGCGGCTCAGGTGACCACATCACAGCGACGTCGCCGCGCAATCCGACTCCCGCCGCTTGGGAACCGGTCGAGCACTTGTCGCCGGTGCTCACCGACCCTCCGCACGGGTATTGATTCAGCTGACGCCGCGACCGGCCGGCCGGCGGTTGTTGGCCCCGGGGCGCTGCAACGCCAGAGCCAGCGGCGGCCTGGGTCGGGGTGGGATCGCTCGTCGCCGCCCCCCCCCCCCCTCCGCTCGCAGACGGCTGAGTGAGGGGTGGAGACCCGCTGGCTCCGCCTGCCGAACGGCTGAGGTGCCGGCGGCGCCTCAGCCGTCGTCCCGTCCGCCGCGGGATGTGAACTCTGTCGGGATTTTCTGCCTGAGCTCGGCTGAGAGCTCCAGCGAGCCGTAAAATATGCAGAGGCAATACCGTGCTTTGTGGCGGGCCGTTGTACAAACTAGGTAGAACGCAGCCCCGGGGAAAATCTGATCTGCATTCAGTTCGCTCTCGTTTTATTCTTCAACAGCGACCGACTCTATCCCTGGCCTGCCCAAGTTAACGCGCTCCAGCGATCTTCAGTTGAACGCGAGTGATTGGTAGTTCTTGTCTGTTCCGGCCCCGCGATCTGGAAGATGGGACGTCGGCCGGGTGCGACAGTCGTGAATCGGAGCCTCGGACGACGAATCAGACGGCATTTCTCACCAGTCGCCCCTCGTTTGAGCGCGGACGAGCTGGCTGCAGACGGCGGGAAGCGCCGACGTAGCCGTCATCCATTTGCAGGCCGGTTCGGTGAATGCGTAATGTAGTGCACTGCCCTGCTGCGGCTGGCGCGGGATCAGTCGCGGCCCGCAGTGTGACGTTTCCAAGCCCCAGCTATAGCGCGCGACCGGACAAAACCTACTCGTATCACTTGCCTTCAGGCACGCATGTCTTCGTGTGAAAACTTGCGCAAATATCAGTATTGCCTTTCTCCGTAAGGCAAATCTCTGAAGCACAAATTCTTGGACGCGAATATTCGTATCCTTAAAATTTCGCTCCGCTAATCTGTGTAGCCGAAAAACTTGGTTACGCAATTTTTGTATGGCGTCTTTTCGTACTGCATTTTTAACACTGGCTATCTCCACATCACATTTTTTCCTCGCACGCAGTTCCTATGCAATGCGTGGTTTTGAGAGTAGACGACGCCGCGATGAATAACGAAAGCGTCATTGTTTAAACTGGAAGTGGCATGTCGGCCAAACGAGTTTTGTGTTCTGGGACAGGTGGGGATGTTCCTGATGCGGCAAGAGTACGACCTTCTGGCAAGATACCACGGGAGCGTGTCAATCTATGGGTATCTCCCCGAAGGGGGTAGCCCGACCGGCAACGTGTCTGAACGCGGCCAGTATGACCGAGATCATGAGCCGCCGAAGTTATGACCTGCTGGCAAGGTACTACAGAAGCCTGCCTATCTTTTGCCTTGCCTTGCCCTGCCTTCCTATCTCCCCGAAAGCGGTAGCCTGGAGTGACCTGGCCGGCAATGTGTCGGAGCGTGGCCAGTGTGACCGAGGCCGTGAGCCGCCAGAGGTATTACTGCTGGGAGCACTGCCTTGCCGGTTGCATGGATATACGGTGGATATGTGTTCGGGCGGAATCCGACAGCAGCACATTGCGCCGGTGAAACTTCCCGGCTGCTGAACAAGCCCAGAGAGCCGTGCTGGACGCGCAAAACAATCCCAAATGCGGCCAATTTAGGGGCGATCGATGATTGTTGCGGGTTAATCAAACGGGCGGTGTAAGTCAGGGTCAGCTGGGAGGCCGCGGCCAACTACCAGCCGAAGTGCCGTGTTCGCCGGGTACGGGCTGGCGATTGTGGGGCGGGGGCAGGGCGCAACAGGAGTGTAGGATGAATCGAACCATCTTTCACACGGGCGTGCCGCCAGTTCACAATGCCGTTCTACACGGACATTGTAAGCTTCATTGCAGAAACAAACGCAAGGCTGTTGATTCTGTTGTTCGAGCACTGTCCAAAACAAAAGTTTTGATCTGCTGTTTACTTATCCGCATGCCCTTTTCTCTTGGCCCGTTTTTTCATTCCGTCATAATCCTCCCGCCTTACATATGATAGGCATTCTATAATATCAGCGTGTATGGTATGTTCTCTCTCCACATATGATCCTGCGTGGCCGAGGCATGGATTTACTCATGTGAGGGTCTCGAAGGCTCTCCTCTGATGTATGCGAGGTTCTGCATTACGAAGATGTGTCTCCACGAACTTTGCCTTCACAAAGATTTGCGCACGAAAAAAGAATGTTTTAAAATGATGTGGAGTACGAAGATTTTCATCTTGCGTTTTTCATGCGATGGAAGGTTTTACGAACCTGGGTCCTTGAACTTCGATAGGACAGGTATGTGGGATATTGCAAAGATGCCACACATCTCACAGCATGACGCAGTGCAATACAGGCAAGGTAATAACCAAAGTCCATAGCGGGTATGCAATTACAGGATCTTGCTTTCAGTTCACGTTGAGCTAGTGAATGGCGCAACGGACAAATGACACGATTCGCTGTATGTGATTATGTCCAGCGTCTTCGCCTGGCATAGCTGGGCGGGATGGCAGGGCAGGCAGGCAGACGGGCTCACCAGTCGGTGGGCAGCAGGAGCTGGATCCTCACGATCTGGTGCCCTGCCGACGCTGAGTGTCTCACGGCCCGCCCGACGGCCGACGCCGTGCCGTGGTGGTGTTCCCGTGAGTGTGCAGCGTGGAGCGCCCTCCACTGTCGTCGCCAACACCACGGAGCAGGGTGGTGATTGGGTGAGCCAGGGGGCGGGCGATGTGCGACAGTCATTTGCTACGCGATGTGGACGCGCCGCCGCGTCGAATATCATCCACCAAGACGGCGTGCCTGACCGATGGCGCTTGCATGTCCCGCACGATAACGCCGCCGGCGAATGGCTTCATCTGCAGCCTGTCGTCTTGTCGGCGATCGCTGCCGTTCTGGCCTCTGCTCGGAAGGCGGCCGTTCGGCGCCGGGACGGGCGGTGCTACCGCCCATGCGGAGGCGGGCGGACGTGTACTGACCGTGCGTGGTGGCCCCGCAGGCCGGCACTGATGACCTGAAGACACTGACGGCCATCTACAGCCAGCTGGGCAACGCCTACTTCTACCTGGGCGAGTACATCAAGGCGATGCAGTACCACAAGCACGACCTTACGCTTGCCAGGTACGATCCCGGTCCCGCGCGCCCGGTCTGCCGTTTGTGTGGGGCTTGTATCTGTCCTTGTGGCGAGCCCACACCACAAACAGGCAGGGCGCCTGCAACGTCCTTGTCATTGTGGCGCATCATAATGTACCGTTTTTCTTGGGCGTGTCCTTGTCATTGTAACGCGCCGCCACAAAAGGCAGAACTAAGCATTTGTATTATCGGGTGTTCTAGCGCATTGTTGTTCTCAAGGCTTCTGTTCTGGTGAACCTCCGCCATTAAAAGATTGAACTTTGTCAGTTAAATCAGTTTGCTCTACAACATCAACTACAATTCACCAAAGGACCTTTGAAGTCCTAATTCTTTTTAACTCTTGCATTTCATGCTGTTCATTGCATGTGATTGGAATATTTGCCATCGTCCTGTGGTTATGCGTGAACCTCTTCCGGCTACCCGAATAAAATACTCGATATGGGATTGGACCGAAACCGAATTTTAGCTGCGATCATATAAAGCATAAAGCGGATGCGAGTTGTGAACAAGGCCATCTTGTAGAAGCCAGATCAGTACTAAAGTATTGAAATTTCATCCACCTAAAAATAGGCAAAGGCGAGACGTGGACGAGGATTTCTGTGCGCTGAGCACTGCTTGTTACCAAAAGAGTCCCGTGGTTTGCCTGCGAAGATCCGTAATATTGGTAAGCGTCCTTAGCGACGCATTTTCACTTCGGCATTGGGTCCACGACGATTCCCTGGAGCGCCATCGAGGCGCCGGCTCTGAGGCCGCTGCATATCGAGTGATTCAAATGAGGTTGGCCGCGCCCGAACTGGGGCCGCGTGCTGGGGCGCGTTGGCGGCGCCCTTCCGGCCGGCCGCCACGTGCCGCGCGAGCCGCCGCGGCCACCACGCGCCCGCCCTCCAATATAGTTGTGTGCCGATTATCGGCGGGCGGCAGTTATTGGCGAGTCGTGCCGCTGAGGGCCGGCCGGCCATTGCGGACGTGATCCGCCGAGCGACGGGCGGCAGGTGGGCGCGTCGCGAGCCGCGCCCCGCCCCGCCCCGCCCCGCCCCGCCCCCGCCCCGCCTCCGTCCTGCTCGCAACCGGAAACGGTCCAGCGGGCGTGCGCCGGCCGCCACTGACAGGCAGCCGAGCTCGCCGGTCGCCGGCAGACTTCCGCGTCTTGGTGACTTGCTGATTGTATTCAAGTCGGCCATCCGTTCTCGATTGTAGCTCTCTTTCTGTAAGCTGAGCGGTAATTGCACCCGTGTTTAAGAAATAGTTCAGTTTCCGTCCCCCGACAGAAGAGAAAATCGCTTCCTCCCCCCCCCCCCCTTCCGCCCCACCAGAGGCATCTGCATGTTCGTCGTCAGGAACATATATTATTACATTGTTTATATGGGGACCATCGTCATCTGAAGGGATGAAAATTCACTTCGCTTTTAAGTTACTCTGATGATTAAGTGCAGGTTCCAAACGCACCGTAACCATTCGCCATTCATCCGGGGGTCAAAATTCGCCGAACATTTGCCGCTGTGTCTATTTACGTCAGGCTTGCAAGCCACCACCGCTCGGGCTGAACTTGTGATTGGCGTAGCAAAGTGCTTTACAGGGGACTCAAGTGGCCCAAGAAGTTTAGAAGGCAGCTTATTTTGATCATTCTCAACGTCAACAGCAGCTCATCAATGGCGTTCGGTTGGGAACATGGCGACAGTTAGCTCATGGCCCACGGAAGTATCTCTCTGGTGTGTGCTTGGAAACGCCCACGACGAGCTGCCGTGATGTGGTCCATTTGAATGAAACCCGGTTGAGACATTTATATTTTCCTGGCTGGGCGCGGGGTCGGCAACAGACGGCTGAGACGGTCTCTCCCAGCCTGTTCTACCCGGTTAAAGTCGTCGAGCAGAAGCTGCTGATCGCAAAAACTGGCTTAGGGTGGTAAAAACTCAACTGATGTATGATGTCGCTGAACCACTTGAGCAAAAACCAGAGGAGTAAAACATTTTCTTTTATAAGCACAAGTCAGGGATGTGCAGTGTAGGAGGAGAGAGCAATTGTTAAACAAAGCGACAAGGGAAAATGGCAAAATGTTTTCGCCGGGTGTATCTGTGTAGTTTTCCGCTCCGAGCGGTCAGTTTGCGAACGCTGATCCAAGAGTTGCCAGTTCCATATTTAGGCTGTGACGGAGGAATATCCTCTGCAAACCATCTCTTAGACTGTAGCGTTCGCGCGTGCCGGGCGTGCGCAGCGAGTGTTCGGAAGCCGCAGCGGTCGACCGGGCCGCCGCCATCCGCGATGGCCCGTTTGCACCTGACCGGTAGCTGCTCGGCGGCGGCGCCCTCCGCGCGCGCGACGGCGGCGGGCGGCCGCGGCCTCCGAGGCCACCCGTCGGGTTGACACAGCGGCTCGGCGCTGGGGGACGCTGATGGCGCCGGGCCGGCTCGCGGTGCTCGATCCGTAAATGACGCAGGAAGCGAGCAGGTCGGGTCGTGGGCTGTCGGCATGGGGTCGTCGTTGTTGGGGCTTTACGACGCACTCCGCTGTTGAGGCTATGTGGCGTCGCCTGTCTTTCACCCTGACGGGAAGGGCGGATACCGCGGGGTTAAAACCCCGTACCTCGTTTCCCAGATGTGTAGCTTAACCCCTGTATTATCGTCAGCCCGCCGGCATGAGGTGTGGCCCGTTGCACTGTTACGTGGTGCGGCACGGCAGACCAAAATAAACATGGTGCCCGGCTCCTCTCGCTTCCGTAAATACATCTGTCCGTATAAATGACCAATGGACAGCCCCGCCGACACCCAAGTTGGCCGATGCCGTGCCAGTCCGGGCCGAGATTAGCCCGGTGCCGCCAGCGGTCGAAGGGCCGGCTTCTTGTGGCCGGGCCCCACCTGTCCGCGTGCGGACGAGCGACCCCGCCGGCCGGGCCGCGGCCGCCCGGCACGCGAGCTCCTTCACGCCGGTCGGCGGGCGGGCGCTCCGCTGCCGCCGGCCGCCGCCGGGGCCAGCGGGGCGGCCGGTGCGCCACCGGTGTGGAGGCGCCGGCTGCGGTTCGGCGCTGTCCGTTGCGGTGGTGGGAGTGGACGGGGCCGTGGTATCTGGCGTCCGCCGCCACCAGGAGCGTGGAACTGCTGGCATCAGATGCCGTCAGCGTGGTAGCCACTGGTACCAGCCGCCACCAGTGCACTGGCCGGCGCTGTCGCATTCCGTGGATGTCACTTACCCTCAGGGAAACCTCAGGAACCTTCTGGGATCTGGGGGCCTGAGCGTGCTCGGAGTCGCCCGTGCTACGCACCTTCTCCTCGCGGTGTCTGGTCTCGTATTCCGTCTTGTCCCGCCCGCCGAGCTTGTGCGGGCTGATCGGGACGGTGTAGGTCGCCATTTCTGCGCGTGTGTTTGGTCCGGCGGTGCCGTTTAATTTGTCGCTGTCTGTCCGATAGCAGCGCTGCAACGAAGTTCATGATTTGGTACCACCGCTAATGCATGCCTTCATACACCCCGCTTTTGATACTGCCTTTTCTTGTCACGTTTGTATGCCAGTGTGAACATGCAAAATGTGATTTTTGCCAGCCCGTCTGAGTTAGTTTGGGTGACGAGGGAAGGGAGCAAGTAGAAGCCTGCCCTGTGAAATGTCCAACGACGTCCTACCAGTAGTCACAGTGTTTTATACGGTCCACGCCATTGGTGTAGTGCGGGACAGCCGTCCACCTCAGGCGGCTGCACGGTGTTATGCGGGCCAGCCTCCGCGCACAGGCGGCGCGACTCTGGCTCGGCGTGTTTATTGTCTGTTTCTTGGCAACAGTGCATCTGCTGCCGTCATGGGAACAGCCATGCCTGCTATCTCGTAGACGTACACCCGCGTTTTCGTGTCCTGGTGTGCGATGCGTATAGGCCGTGGACGAGTGCACGTAACTGGATAAGAGACGTTTGGCAGACAAAACAGCGCACGCTGGATCGTGTTTTGTGCTTTCCCGAATGCGGGAGTCTTTTTTAAGTGCGCTGCTGCTTCTTGCACGCAGGTCGCAATAGCCGCATTCACGAGCCGCGTGCTAAAGCTGGGCAGCATTGCGAGCCAATTACTTGACCTGATGATATTTGGGTGTATCACGTGCCTCCGATTTCGTTCCAAGGTTACCCTGCCAGACCAACTGTGTGCCTAAAAAAGGGTCGCGTTCAAGAGGACGGTATTTGACGCATTTATTGCTTAAGTAGGTGTAGTTAAAAGTAGGGGAACTGGTCTTCCCTCCAGGAACGGATGGATTTGTTGCGCAACTCTTTCAGTCGCTATTTTTGCCCCTGCGATGTGATTTTAGTGTGGTGATATTTCGTTGGTAAGAGTCCATAACGTCTCCCCCATCCTGTGGCTGGAAGTGGCCAAGTTCAGACGCCGCCCACTGCTATGTAGGCAGCTAGACGCTGTTGCTCCATGCCATGGTGTTCTGTGTTCGCGATGTGAGGCGGTTATAGGGTGTTCATGGAATGACTGAGTGGCAGATGTGTTGGCCGTCGCGGCGTCATGACCGTATATCCCGATGGCTTCAGCTGTGGGGCGGCTCAGCTGTGCTCCGAGGCCCGGCGGTGGCCGGCACCAGACCCTGGCTGGTGGCTGCTGATGGCTTCAGCTGTGGGGCGGCTCAGCTGTGCTCCGAGGCCCGACGGTGGCCGGCACCAGACCCTGGCTGGTGGCTGCTGATGGCTTCAGCTGTGGGGCGGCTCAGCCGTGCTCCGAGGCCCGGCGGTGGCCGGCACCAAACCCTGGCTGGTGGCTGCTGATGGCCCTCCAGCCTGGGGCTGACAATGTTCGCTCGTTTTGTTGGCATATCTGGATCACGCTGGATTCAATGGATGACTTGTTTTTCCCATCTGCGCACGCTCTTCATGTCACTCGAGAGAGGTTGCGAAATAGAAGAAAAATTGACATTGAACCTCCGTTTTCCGGCATTATGAGTCGGGGTGGGATAATAATCGCCAGGAGGTACCGGTCAACTGTCGTTATCGAACAAGCATTGACTATGTTGGGAAACCTG